TTGCCATCCGCCTATGCTCTTTCTAGAACACACCTTAGAGGGCCTGCATCAGCTGGTGGGGGCAGGCCAGAGTCTGGATTGTCTCAGGTATTTGATAGGTGAAGAGACTCGGCCTCACCCTGGGCCTGCTAGCAGCTGCCCCTGGTGGTCAGTGCGCGTCATAGCGACTGGTCGACCAGTCATTCTGTTCATTCTGCTAGTCGGTCGCTAGGCTTTGATATATATAGATTAGGTGAACTTGCTTCCATATTATCTGTTCATCAAACTGTTAAAATATATAAAATGCAGACTGCATCGATGTGGAAGAGATTTTGTTTTTTTTGTTTAGGTATAAAGAGGATGGGGAAGCTTTACTAATTTTGCTGCCCTCAGAAGAGAAAGGGATGGTGCAGCAGCTCCTCCAGAGGAAAGTGCCTGTGAAGGAAATCAAGTAAGACAACTGGTGTGATGATGGGATTGTCAGGGTAACGAAGGCATGACATTATTATGCTTACTTATGTGTGCCCAATTCCCTCCTCCTTCTAATCTATTCTGCTGTTTGGTTTGTGACTTCTTTGTTTTTAACTTTTACAGAAGACTGTTAGTGGAGAAAATAAGATGAAAAATAGAACTTGTTAGCTTCAGGAGACATTGATGGTTGAAAGGATTAAGTCTCTTGGATGCCATTTTTTAAGGTTGTTTGTCTATTTCAGAGGATTCTATTTCCCTATCATTGAAGATATTTATATTGAGTGTTAGCAGAACTGAACAGAAGCTCACTTGTATTGGAGTCCTTGAAACACCTTAGCGTTTATTTGGAGGAAAACAGTTGGGAAGGTTGTTTAATTGGGGGCAGGAGTGGGAAGGAGGTTAGATGAAATAAGATTGGCTGATTTGGTAATTGTTGAATCTGAGTAAAAGTTGTCTACCTTTGTGTATTTTGAAATTTTCTATAATTAAAAAACAAACTAAGTAAAACCACCTCATCTATTACCATCTGTCACCACCTCAGACTTGCAGGAACAAAGTGATTCAGTCTAAAAATCAAGAAAGCAAGTGGGATTTCTTTTGTGAAACCCATACTCTTATAAGAATTTCATTTATTCCTGTAGCCTACCTGGGCAGAGTTAAGTAACAATTCTTTTATATTGTGCCTAATATCCAGATAAGGAAAACGATAATATCCTTTGTTGACTTGTTTTTTTGAATTTGGTTTTGTGATATTTGACTGAAAATGGAAATACACAAATGACATTAGATTTCATTTATTCCATTACAGTGATGATCCATCATCTCCCATAAAAGGCTACTTTCTAACTTTATAGAATTAAGTTACCAATGCTCATTGTACTGTTAACCTTAGTGTCTTTCACTTACTCAGCATGTGATGTTTAGAGATCTTTAATCTTTCATTTCTTTTTCCTGCATTATTAATATGCAAGAGAGTCAAATTTCTGTCTAGTAATTTCAGTCTAATCTGGCTCATAAATGAGAAATAATGTTATAAATTTAAAAGTACTGAGGAAAACAGGAAAATGCTGTGTACTATTTTTAATTTCCAAAATTGAGATGTCTTAGTTTAACCTTTATGTTTTTGTTATAAAGAATCAATCCAGAAAAACTTATTGATGTCCAGAAAAAACTGGAATCATTTTTAGCTCAAGATCAAGATTTAAAAGAAAGAGCTCAAAGGGTAAGTCATTTTTGAATCTGATACCTTCATTGGAATGGAGCATATATATAATAAAGTTAAATTTCATCATTTTCTGATCCTTCTGGTTGCATGCTTCAGATATTCAAGTAGTGTAATATTCAGATAAGATTAGCTTACTCTTAATCCCAAAACACCAATCAGAAGGAATATACTCATCCTTATGTTTATAGCAGCATTATTTACTATAGCCAAGATCTGGAAACAGCCCAGGTGCCCATCAGCAGATGTGTGGATAAAAAAGTTATGGTACATTTACACAATGGAGTACTGTGCAGCAGTAAAAAAGAAGGATCTCTTACCCTTTGTGACAGCATGGATGGACCTGGAGAGTATTATGCTAAGCAAAATTAGCTAGTCAAAGAAAGATAAATATTATATGATCTCACTAATATGTGGAATCTAATGAATAAAATAAACTGACAAACAAAATAGAACCAGAAGTATGGATACATGGAACAGACTGTCCAGTGCCTGAGTTGGGGGTGGGGAGGGTGGGCTGAATAAAGAAGGTGAAGGGATTAGCTGAAGAACATATATGCATACCCCATGGACACGGACAATAGTTTGGTAAAGGCCAAGAGAGGGGGTATGGGGATAGGTAGAGGTGAATAAAGGGGTGGGAGGGGGATATCTGCAATTATCAGCATTAAAATCCTATATAATAAAAGGCTGATAGGCAAATTGTCTCCTCGACCAGGAATTTGATCAGAGGGCGGGGCCGGTCTGCCAACCCCCCTCAGCCCCTTCTGCCAGCTGGACATGCCCTCGATCAGTTCCCCAACCCCGATCAGGGGCGGGGCCGGCCCACCAACCACCAGCGGCCCCTCCCCCCGGCACTGGGCCTCTAGTCTCTATATATAAAAGCCTAAGTGACCATTATAATCCGTCAACCAGTTGCTGTGACACTATGACCAGACGCGCACTGACCACCAGGGGGCAGACGTTCAATGCAGGAGCTGCCCCCTGGTGGTCAGTGAGCTCTCACAGCCAACCTCCCATGGTCCCTCCCCCCGAGGGACCCCACCTGTGTGCAAATTCGCCCCCATCCAGCAGGCCCCATCTGGTAGGCCCTGTCTGGTGGCTGGCATGCCCCGGCTGGCCTGGTCTCGATTGGGACTGGGCGAGACGGCCCAGATAGGCCCTGATTGTTGGCCAGGCCTAGGGATCCCACCCATGCTTGAATTTTGTGCACTGAGCCTCTAGTTTTTTGATAAAAACAAAACAAAACAAAAAAAAACAACAACAGAGGTTGGAGACATGAAAAAAGTTTAGTTTATTCTTTAACTTTTAAAAAATTATATATTTCTTGTAGTAACCTGGGAAAATTATATATTTCTATTATTTGTCCATAAAAAAATCCTCTTAAAGATGATATTTTCAGTGCATAGTGACCTGATTTCTAGTATACTTGAAAAGTTATCAACTTTTGATTTCTTCAGTAAAGTTACTATAACTCCTGATTGCACTTTCTTGAATATAAGATTATCATCTCTAATTATATTAGTGTGAATTTCTGGAAAGCATTAACACTCTTGTTAAATTGTCTTTAGGAATGAGGTTTTAACTTATACTAGTAAATATGATTTAATGTTCCTAAATTACTTTTTTGGACTTAGAAATTTTCTTGATTAGCAAATATAAAAAGAAGTGTCACTTTTAGTTAAACTTATTTTTTAGTTCTTAGAGTCCCCAGCAGTAGATTCTTTTGAAAAGGAAGATGTGAAATTAATTTGCATTGTGAGTATAGCTATCCATTCTTTGGATTGACAATTATTTGAGTCTTTGTTATAAAGCTCTTCATTTTCAACACTCTTACTTATATCATAGTTATGAGATCTACATTCGCCATCTACATCTGCACTTACCATAGCACACCATCGGTGAGTTAGAGAGTAGAGATTCAGAGGTTGGATTCTATTCAGCAGATAGATGAAGTGGGAGGAAGAAAATAGAGGATATGTGAAAAGGGCATCCTAATAGAGAGAGGAGTCCAAGTGGAAATACAGGCAGTAGTCAGGCTTTTATGTGATGATTTTGAAACTGGGTATTTTCAGCAAAGAAGTTTTATTTAAAGAGCAGGTCTTAAATTTAAAAAATTAACTTATAGTTAAATCAAATTATCATCACTGTTCTTCAGATACATGAAAGCTAGAAGTTGAATGCTTACTATGTGTTAGGCACTTAGCCGTGACGTGACTTTTATGAGGCAGTTTGTGCACTGTTTTAATCTTCCCAACAACCTATTAGTAGGTGATACTGATTTAATTTTATAGATGAGTATATAGTACCTTGAGAAAATTAAAAAATGTCCACCGCTACATGGCCATTAGTGGCAGACCTGAGATTCTGATTTAGTCTGCCTTTCTTCAGAACTTCCATGATAAACTCAGGAGAGACTAATTCCACAATATAAGAAAACCAAATAATGAACTATGCAAAGTTGGACTTCTGTAAGTTCTTTTCACCTGAAATGTAAAATGTCTTTACACACATTTTTTTTCTTGTACTATTAGGGCATGTATTTGGAAATGCACATGTTTTGTCTAGCAGACATACTTTAAGCCAAGAGTACAATCTTTCATTTGAAAGCTTTGGAAATAGTATGTACATATAAAAATAATATACATAAATTCTGATATGTTGTGATTTATCATATACCCAGGAGATCAGTCAGTTATGAATCAGGCAATAAGAAACACTGGAAGGATGCTGTTCCACTGGTTTGTGCATACCACGAAATGAGCCTTCCAGAACAGAGATTATAGGAAAGCACAGTGAAATAAATGATGTGATTTATCGGGTTTCACGCATGGCTTAGCAGCATGGCTAACTGTATTGCCAGCAGCAGCAAGCTATCTAGTTTCATAGAAGTGATTTTCTAGCTTTTGGTTTTAATCTGGATAGAACAAGAATGATAAGCAACTGGGGTGGTATCTTGTGGATTGTTGTAGGGGAAAAAATTATCCTTGAACTGGACCAGTCATTGTTCCTTTCTGTGTAGACAGGGAAAGTGGTTTGAAGATTCGTGTACATGTTTTGAAGAAAGGATTAGTGTAAAGTTAGAGAAAATGTGAAGTTGAGATATAAATGGAAGTTAAATATGGTTTACAAAAATTAATTTTAAAATCTAAAAATAAAAATGCCTGCTTAGATGTGTTTCATAATCTTTGTTGCCTGTTTATTTTACAAACTGACAAAGGATCAGGACCATGTTTAATTTTTGGTTTGTATAGCTCTTTCTATAAAGGTAGTTTTATAAAAACAGAAGAAAATATTGCATGATGACAAATTACTTGAAATTATGATGATGATGTACTATTTGAAATTATAATAGAAAAGGAATAAATTTTAGGAATAAACTTGTTCCTATCATGATTTTATTAAGCTTAATTTAGTTAGAAATGGTAAAATCTTGTTTTGGTGGAAAACATCCTTTGACTCCTATGATAATAGTTATTACTAATAATGAGCATTTATTGATACTTTCTGCATTCCAGAAGATAAGCCCAGGTATTCTACATACATTTTCTCATTTACTCCTCATAGTAGAAGGTGCTATTTCTGTTTGATATGTGAGGGAACTGACATAAGGAAGAGGCTTGCTCAGAGAGTAAAATTTGGAGCTCAGATTATCATTCGTATTATTCTAAAGCCTGTGGTTTTCTCCATTACACCATATTGCGACTGAATAATAATAACAACTTCTAGAACAGCTTCTTGAGAAGGTGACATTCTATGTTGAGTTGGCTTGATGAAACCAAATCTTAAGTCTTTTGGTATTATAGTTCTAAAAAGGTAGGGGTTTTTTGGTTTGTTTTTTGTTTTTGTTTTTTTTGTGTGGAATGGGGATATACTCAACTATTTTAATATATGTATATATTTACTGATTTCAGAGAGGAAAGGAGAGAGAAAGAGAGATAGAAACATTAATGATGAGAGAGTATCATTGATCGGCTGCCTCCTGCATGCCCCGCACTAGGGATTGAGTTCACAATCTGGGCATATGCCCTGACTGGGAATCAAACCATGATCTCCTGGTTCATAGGTGGATGCTCAACCACTGAGCCATGCTGGCCTGGCTCAACTATTTTTGAAGTTTTTTACTACTGTTGAATTTTTACGCTTTGGTTTATTTTGTCTTGCTTTAATTCATTTTCCATTTTCTACTATTTATATGTTGTATATTTAAACCTCTTTTACAGTGTTTTGTCTCCTATATACGTTCAGTATATCTGATGAAGGATAAAGAAATATTTGATGTGAGCAAGTTACCTATACCTGAATATGCCCTGTAAGTACTCATATTATAGCTTTAATTATGAATCCTCAAAGTTAGAGGGAATTTCTTTGAAACCTGGTTATCAGAGAGTCCTAGTTTAAACCACACTGCCTTACATTAAGATAATCTGTTAATGATCTGCAGAGAAAAAGATTCTAAACTGGAAGACTAGTTGAGTGCTTATTTCTTATTATAAGAAAGAAATTTCTTACTTGTAAGTATAAATTCCCTGCAGCTTCCTATAGTATGGTCTTAAAGGAGATGGAGAGCAATTGATAAGCATTCTTTGAAATCTTTAAATGTCTATATTCCTCTTAATTCTCTGAAATGCTGGCCTGGATTACAATAGACAGTTCTTTTTAATGCTTTGGATACAAATAACTTCCTCGGTTCTTCCTTTATTTTATTATTATTTTTTTAAATATGTTTTTATTGATTTTAAAGAGAGAGGAAGGGAGAGGGAAAGAGAGAGAGAAAAATCAATGAAAGAGAAATATTGATCACCTGCCTCCTGCACGTACCCCTACTGGGGATCAAGCCTGAATCTTGTGCCCTGACCGGGAATCTAATCTGCAACTTCTTGGTACATGGGCGGGCGCCCAACCAACAGCCACACTGGACGGGCAGTTCTTCCTTTATTTTAGATTGGTTTTCTATACTGCGTACTGCCTAAATATTCTTTTTGTCTTGGTTTTTCTTACAGGTACTCACAGTTACCATGGCAAAATGTCCCTGTTTAGTAACAGTGGTTACTATTATATGAAAACAAAACTCTTGGTCTTGTTTAGGCTTGGTATTTTCAGGATTTTCCCCTAACATTTTTGGCTATAAAGGAGGAGCATCTATTTTTTAATGGGGTTCTACCTGTGGGAAAATAACTGACAATATCCTATAGATAGAAGCACCCTAGAGGTAGATCATACTTAGAATTTCAGCATGAAATTTTCTAGTCTGTGATGAAATATGTACTTTTAAGTCCAGGTCTGTATATTTAGCCAACTCTCCAGGAATTTTAGTGTCTTTACCTGTAAAATGAGTCTAATAAAAACTTGTATCAGGGTGAGCTGCTAGTTTCTGTTCTCCATGTTAGAGTGCAATTATAGTATAACAAGTAATTTGTCAGTTGTAACATTTTAGAACCATTAAAATTGCTAGGTAATAGAAGTAAGGCCACTGACTTTCTGTCTAGGTCAGTGATTTTCAATCTTTTTGATCTCATGGCACACATAAACTAACAACTAAAAATCTGTGTCACCCAAAAAGTATATTTTTTGCCGATCTGACAAAAACAAAAACAACAAAAAAAGGAATGATTTTGATTCATTCACACCAGATAGCTGTTACTGTGTTGGCTATTGCCATTTTTTAATTTGACAATCTAAGAGAAAAGTGGTCTGTGCCCTTCACTAGTCAGATATTGCATGTTTTAATAATTCTTGCGGCATACTGGTTGAAAATCGCTGGCCTAGGTAATGAAAAACTCATGCATAGATAACACATTTTTGTTTGTTTATCTGTTTATATACCAGTTACTCATGAAATTCTATTCTGGTTGTCTGAATGACTTAGTTGAGAGATTAGCAGCAGGAGAGGCACAAGTCTTTAACACTGTGGGACCATATTTAGGGGACATTTTATTGCCACAGGTGCCAGTAGATCTCATCTGTTTATAGTTGAAGACCTTTGCTTTATATTGGTGATGCTTAGGGAAGGCAGAAAGTTTAACTTCGCAGTCTAAATAATTGGTAGAGTTTAATTGTAATTATGATTTCCTTTAGAAGCCTTTGATAACTAAAGCAGTGCTATGTATGCAGGATATAATATAGGTATAAAAATTATTTTACTAGAAAAACCATATTTTTTTTAGAAAAACTATATTTTGAATACTTGATATATACAGTTTATTGTGCTAGCTGTTAAAATTTATAAATGTATAGTATGTACTCCTACCTTAAAGGAGTTGTAAGTTTTAGGAGCTTAGAGGGACATATAAGTGTAATTGTAATACACTGAGAGAAATTATTTGATATGAACTTGTGATCCTAATCCATAGCCCCTATAGCAGCAATAGTGACAAGTTCTCAGTAGTGGCAGCCTTTGTGCCAGGCACGATTTTAAGTGCATTACATCTATGAACATTTTATTCTTGCAACAACCCTATCATTTCATTCTTACAACAACCCTTCTTATCACACTATTTTGCAAATGAAGGAACTGAGGTATAGAGAGGTTAAATAATGCCTTTTGATCATACAGCTAGTACGTGGCAGAGCCAGGATTTGAACCTTAACAGCCCTATTTTTGAATCTACATGTTACCATTATACTTCGCAGTGTCTATGGATCATGTCTTATAGGAAAAAGGCAGTGGATCCATGTTGTAATGTTAGCTGTTTGTTATAACAGGCTGTGCTTTGAGAGTTTATTTTCAATCCATCAGTGGGAATTTAGAAGCTGGGAAAGACCTTATCATAAAGCGAACCTTGATATTAGAAGGAGGAAATAAATTTTTTTTGTCTCTGGTTTGAAAATTGTTTCTATAGAAGTGATTACCATTATATCTCTCAGAAGGGAGGACCATGACACTGGAGTTTATTCTTTGTTGAGAACTATATTTTGTCCTTTCAGGGCCATGTCTCTTCCAGTGTTAGTATTTACATTTTACAAAGTGTTTTTATAGAGTTAGTATATCACATCTTCACAACACTTGTGAGATAGGTCTGGTAGGTACTGTTATCCCATGTTTCAGGAAGTGGAGGCTGAAAGAGTTAAACTGGAAGTTGGCAGACCTACTACTCGTACTGTTTCTTTGTTTCTGGTCTCATGCTTTTTCTTTTATAAGGTGTTAACCTTTTAATGAAAAATGGGGTATCTTCAATGTTTTCTGACAGGTATTCAGTATTTTCTGGCTAGCCTGTCAAGATTTTTATATCTCAGAGGAACATTTTCTTTGGAAAAGGCTCTAAAAATAGATCCTGACTCTTGAGAAACTGTTTCATAATAACCATAAACACACCATCAGTGTATTGATATAACTATTTTTTAATTGCCCATTTAAGGTCTCTTGGTCTTGCTGTGGCACCACGGGTAAGATTTCTTCAGAAGATGCAGAAACAACCAAACAAAGAATTGATAGTGAGCCAAGATAAAAAAGTAAGCGAGCCCAGGGCCCCCTCCCTCAGCAATGATGAAGTGGAAGAATTTAGGGCCTACTTCAGTGAGAAAATGTCCATCCTTCAGAAAGGTGGGAAAAGACCAGAAGGGACAGAAGATGGACTGGCTAATGGCATTAGTGATGAAGAGGAAGAAGAAAAGGAAGGTGAAGAAGAAGTGGAAGAGAAACTGGGAAAAGCAAATGGGTATCAGCCTCATTCTGGCCTTAGCACTGATGAGTCACAGAAGCAGAACGAAGCTCCCATGCAGTTCTTGGACAGAGATGATGATAATGAGGAGGAAGAAGATGAACTCGGTGCTGATTTCTTTAAGGTGAAGCGACACAATGTGTTTGGGTTGGACCTTAAAGAGAATAAAGCATTACAGGTAAGTGTACTCCCAATGGAGGGTCTTCTATTATTTCTCAATGCTTATTGTGTGTTGCTTTGTTGCCTTTTGGCAACTGTGGGAAAGCAAGAACTAGGAAGGATTTGTAGAATGATTTTCTTTGCAGTGAACTCTCCCTCTTTCTCCATATTTAGAGATAGGTACCAAAGAATTCTCACTTTTTTGTGACTTGAGGAAATCTTTTTTTTTTTTTTAATATATTTTATTGATTTTTTTTTTTTTTTTTTACAGAGAGGAAGGGAGAGGGATAGAGAGTTAGAAACATTGATGAGAGAGAAACATTGATCAGCTGCCTCCTGCACGCCCCCTACTAGGGATGTGCCCGCAACCAAGGTACATGCCCTTGACCGGAATCGAACCTGGGACCTTTCAGTCCGCAGGCCGATGCTCTATCCACTGAGCCAAACCGGTTAGGGCGACTTGAGGAAATCTTAATCATCTCAGTTACTGGTGTTCTGATGCATGTTTTTAAAGTAGCCAGTGTCATGATTATAACATGAAGAAAGGTGATGGGGTTTCATGGTTTATAGTGTGAGGATATTTCATTGTGATTCTTAACATACTACTGATTTAAATAATTAAAATGTTCCTTACAACAGTTTAATCTCTCTAAACATGAATTTTACTTTTAATGAGACATTTGCATTTGGGCATCTATCCAGCATCTTAAATAGAAAAGTAGTACTTCTTTTTAAAGGCCATTTATGAAGGTTTATTGAAAGTTTCATGTAGATTCCTTGTTTCTCTGTAGGTACCTGCTAGGAGGAATAAAAAAGATAGCACCTGTTTTCTGGAGTACTTGCATGTGCACAGTAAATGTGTTTCTCCCTTGTTCCCTATTTCCCTTCCTGTTTATATGCCTTTTATTCTTGATAATTTCTTTAAAGAGAATTGAATGAAAAATGAAATTGCACTCTTATTTATATAAAGCTTAATAAAATTCTAAGACCCACAGTAAGAAACATTAAATTTTAAACCATGAGTTCAAAGTAACTAAATAAAAATTTTAGAAAGGTAGCAATCATACTTATTGAGTACTAAATTATATTGGGAATTTTCTAAACATCTCATTTGGTTTTTTTTACTAACCCTATGAGGTAGGTATTCTCTCATACAGGTAAGGGGGGAAAAACAGACACACAGACAATAAAATAGTGAGGTATGCAATTTGTTACTGGCAAAGTTGGAATTTGAATCTAGGTATTCTGACTCGAGTAGTTCTTGACCAATAAAAGATGTTTTTTGAAGTTTGGTTTATCACTTTTTAAAATAATTGATATATTTTGTGTCATATCTGATAAATCTGGTTAATTCAAGGTCACAAACATTTTCTTCTATGTTTTCTTTTAGAGGTTTTATAGTTTATTACTTAAATTTAGGGCAAGGATTTACTTCAGCTTGATTTTTGTGTATGATGTGAGGTAAGGTTTGAGATTTTTGTTCTGTCTTTTTCAAAAGGATGTCCAATTAGACCAGTCCTGTTTATATTTAATTATTATATTCAATTAGACCTGTGCTGTTTCCATCCATTTACTTGACCTTTTACTGAAAGGTCAAGTAAATGGATGTATGTATAGGTCTCTTTGTTGACTTAATTCTGTCTATACAGCTATCCTTTCACCAATAACACCTGTCTTGATACTGTAACTTTATAGTACATCTTTAAATTGTGTAGTGTGAGTCTTCCTTCCAACTTGATGTTTTTTAAAAAATTTGTTTTGGAGATTTTTGGACTATTTCATTTCCATATAAGTTTTGAATCAACTAGTTAATTTGTACATAAAACCCTGATGATAACTTCATTGAGGTTGCATTGAATCTATAAATCTATTTGGGGAGAATTGACATCTTAATATTGAGTTTTCTGATTCATGAATATGACATATCTTTCCATAGGTCATCTTTACTGTCTTTTAACATTGTTTTATAGCAGCGATTTTCAACCATTGTGCCACAAGAATTTTTAAAACATGCAATAACTGACTATTTAGTCAGGAGCACTGACCTCTTTTCCCTTAGATTGTCAAATAAAATAATTGACCACAGCCAACACAATAGTCATTGGTGTGAATGAATCAAAATTAAACCTTTTTTTTTTTCAGATCGGCAAAAAATATAATATACTTTTTGGTGTACCAGAGAATTTTAGTAATTAGTTTATGTGTGCCATGAGATGAAAAAGGTTGAAAAACACTGTTTTGTAGTTGTAAGCACACTTGTTAGATTCATCTCTTACTGTTTCATAGTTTTAAATGGTATATTATAAATGTTACTTTAAAATTTTCAATTTCTAGTTCTGTTGCCAGTATATAGAAAAATAATTTAGTTTTGTATAACAAGCATTCTAAACTGACCTATTAGTTCTAATGGCTTATTTCTTTACTTTTTCTTTTGCGATTCTTTGGGACTTTCTCTGTAGATGGTCATGATGTTTATGAATAAAGATAGTTTCACTTCTTTCTTTCTAATCCAGCCGTGGGCAAACTACGGCCCGCGGGCCGGATCCGGCCCGTTTGAAATGAATAAAACTAAAAAGAAAAAGACCGTACCCTTTTATGTAATGATGTTTACTTTGAATTTATATTAGTTCACACAAACACTCCATTCATGCTTTTGTTCCGGCCCTCTGGTCCAGTTTAAGAACCCATTGTGGCCCTCGAGTCAAAAAGTTTGCCCACCCCTGTCTAATCTGTGTGATTTTTTAAAAAGTATGTTTTTATTGATTTTAGAGAGAGGAAAGGAGAGGGAAAGAGAGAGATAGAAACACCAGTGATGAACGAGAATCATTAATCAGCTGCCTCCTGCACGCCCCCTACTGGGGATTGAGCCCACAACCCTGGCATATGCCCTGACCGGGAATCGAACTGTGATCTCCTGGTTAATGGGTCAACACTCAACCAATGAGCAACACCAGCCAGGCTAATGTGTGGGCTTTCTTTTTCATTTTCTTACTTGATTACATAGAATGTTGAATAGCAGTGGTGAGAGTGGACATTGTTGTCTTGTTCCTGACTTTAGAGAGGGAAAAAATATTCAAGCTTTTACCATTAATTACATCTAATGTTAGCTATAGGTTTTTCTAAATGCCTTTATCAAGTTGAGAAAGTTCTATTCTATTAGTTTTTTTAGTGTTTTTATCAGAAATGGATGATGAATTTTATCAGATGCTTTTTCTGCAACTATTAAAGGGAACATATAGTTGTTCTGTTGAAACATTGATTTTCTAACCTTGAACCAACCTTAAATTCCTGTAGTAAACTTCACTTAGTCATATGTGTTTCCCTTTATCTATTGGAGGATTCCATTTGCTAATTTGCTAAGGATCTATGCTTCTATGTTCATGAGGGATATTGACTTGTCGTTTTCTCTTAATGACTTTGGGAACATGACACATTTTAAAAGTTTTGATACATTTTGTTAAAACTACCCTACAGAGAGGTCATATTGATCACTGTCTCTCCAAATTTGTATGTCAGTACCCATTTATAGATACCAGTGCTGGATATTATTGGAATTTATTTATTTATTTATTTATTTATTTATTTCAGGTATATGATTTCTGTGTATGTGTATTGCTTATGTTTTTCGCTGCTATGATATTAGCCTCTTTCCTGTTGATTTCCAAGATGTCCTTAAACATTAGATACTGTCCTTGGCTTTTAACTTTTTTTATAGCCCTTGTCACACAGACAAGGGCTGTTTGTCTGCCTTCCTACTGGATTCTGAATTCCTTGAAATTAATGTCTTAATGAGCAGTATGTGTTCAGGACCTGGTATAATGTCTAACTCCAGTTGCAGATTTCACAAATGTTTTATGAATAAATGAGTGAATTACTGAATTTCTTATTCTCTCACTTTGATAGTTTTGTTTGCTGTGAATTATATAGAATTCATATATATAGGATTATTCTTGGAAGACTATAATTTGAAACTATGTTAAATTTACCTAATTGATTTATTATGATTCAAAAGGTATTGTTGAATTTCTACAAACATTAGTATAAGGACTTTATTTGATTCTAAATAATATACTTGTGCAGGCCAAGCTTTGTAATTGAGGTAATAAATGAAGGCATCTAATAGTAATGATGCAAAATTCTAACTAAGAATATGTTTACAGGTATAGTTAGTAGGCTTCTGAGATGCTGATTGTTAGGTCGCCAAAGGAGGACCGCATGAGGCCAGAATGGTGAGGGATTATGAATTTATTTGATCTTCCACACACCAGGTGGCTGAGCCCCAGATGGCTCCAGCACCCAGTGATGGAGTCAGTGGTTTTTAAAGGACTTTTGGTGGGCTTTTTCTGGGCGGAGAATTCTCTGTGCAGGTTCAGAGGGGAGAGATAATGGAATGTGGTCTCAACAAGTAAAGTGTGGTCTCAGCGAAAGGGAATGTCCATAGTGAAATGGCCTAAAGGTCAGTTCCCAGGGGAGGAGGTATCGATTCAATTATTTGATCAGGCCTAATATTCCAGCCTTTTTGTTTTATGGAATAGGGACGAAGGTCATATCCTCTGTATTTACTTCCTGTTGAGGGGGGATGTTGAGATCACAGGGGAATGGACTTTGATAGTAGTGGGCTGGATGAGGGATGCAGCAGCATGATTTCCCGAAGAGACTGGTTGGTGAAGGCTTGAAAGCAGTCCTGTGAGTGACTTGGGAGGTAAAAGCTAGTCCCGAGTCTGCCACAGCGTCACCAAACTTGTCTGGTTTTGCTGCTTTTGTGGGCCTGGAGCTGAAATACAACTGAGGCCTAGATGTTATCTTTAGGGAAGAAAAGATCAGAGATCTTCGTTGCCTGACTAGTTATTTTCTGGGGGAGGATAGGTTACCCTGGGGGGCGAGGTTCTTGTTTTCCCAGTTTCGCCCCTTGGTAGCATCCAGAGCTCTCTGGCTCAGTGAGAGAGAGAAACATTGATTTGTACCTGGCCCATCATCCTTGCTCTGTGGGAGGGTTGGGGTGGTCAAAGGGATGATGAC